AAGGGACGAGTCGGTGCTGGGCTGGAAACAAAAACAAAAGACACTTGGTTTGTGTTGTCGTTTAAGGAACACTTATTTCTTGGCAAAGTACTGGGCCCTCGCGTGGCAGGCGGTGCTGCAGGCAGTGCTCGGAGAAGGCACGGGAGATTCTGCTGTGCGTTCTTAAAGGAAAGAAAAGAAGAAACCAGCCAGCCCACCCGCTCGCTAAAACCCCTCTGCTTCCAGGGATGGAGGCCGGGCAAAGATGATGATGTTGTACAGCCAGTTACAACCAAGTTCTCTCTGCTTCCAACCAAGACAAACAGGACAAAGAAGAGAAGGCAGCAGAGCCTCCTCCAGCCCTGCCTGCCTGGGGCCGGTAACCAGGGGTGCACCAGCAAGAGCCCACAGGGAAGAAACGAAGCCCAAGCAAAGCAAACTCCTGCCTCCTGCTCAGTCCCATGGCTTCACAAGAGGGTCAGTTCAGAGCCAACTTGCCCAGGATACCTGGGGCTTCTGCTCCAAAAAAACAGGACTCTCACCAAATGGTTACAAGAGGCCAAGGTGAGGCAGGACACAGGGTGAAGAGATGACCTACAAAAAAGCGGCGAGGCAAAACCTCCATGCAGCATCTTCTCTGGAAGACCTGCAGCCAACCAACCAACCTGCCACACCTCTGCGAGGAATTGCTGACAGTGGCAAACCAGCTAGAGACGTGCTATGGAAATCAAGGGTCCTCCCATCGGCCATAGAGCCTCCCTCCCTTCCACCGGCTAAAGAGACAACCTGACTTATCCCGCCCATGATCTAGGAGTTGACCACTGTACTGTCAATAACCCGATGCTTGTTCTCCGTTCAGCCTCCTAACGTTTTGGCAGTGATGAGCAGAGCTGGTGGGCACAGCTGGAGCATCCTCTGGGGTTCCTCAGCAGTTAATCGGACCTTGTACTCCAAGGCTGAAGGATTATTTAACCCAACAATACAGATAAGCCAGAACAGGCAAAAGTCCCTCTGCCCTGATGGCAGGAGCCATTAAACCTTTTCAAGGCTCTCACCAAAAGTTTCACAGCTGTTTAAGAGCAGAAAAGATGCATCTCTTCCTCCCCAGGAAGGAGCCCTGTTTCTCACAACCATGGCGTTTTTCTTCACCACCCTTCCACTGCCAGCTCACCTCCACCTTGCTTTGTAGAAAAATCAGAATCTTTTACATCCAGCAAGGTTACAGCCAAGTCACCTTCGTTCCTTGTCTACCAATTACTGCTTTGGAAACAGAGAGAGAAAAGTCTATCTGCGCACACACAGAAGAGGAACTGTAAAGGCTAGGTACCATTTTTCAAGGTGGAAGACTGATGTACATCCCTGTATCTATCAACCTGTGAGTAAACACCTTCCCCCTGGCTGGGGTTTTTTTTTGTTTATTTTTAAATTTTCGCACTACAGTGCTAAATCCCCCATTTCCCACTGTGAAGTTACTGGGGGCAAATCCCACAAGCAAAGAACAAACCCCAAGGTAAGAAGAAAACCCTAAAAACCACAAGTGGAAAAAAAAAGTCACAAGTGCACCCCAACCCTCAGGCTGAGAGCGTGCATGTAAGACTACAACAATTTGAACTTTCTTTGAACATGCATTTTTCAAAGTGAAAACCCCCAACAGATGCATGGAGCCCAACTCTTGGAGAGGAAATAACCTGGCTGCTTCACTTGGGCGAGTACCACTGAAAATTAGGGATGGAGATGCACAATTTTGGCTTAGCCTCTCTCCCAACACCCAGCATTGTGGTACTCTGGTTCCCACTGCTAAATAACGGTAAAAAACAAAACAAAAACAAAACAAAAAAAAAATCCCAAATCAAAGAAAACCCCCCAAAACAAAACACCAAAATGATATACGTATGAGCAGTTTGACACGAAGTGACCGCAGTGTGTGATCAGTTACTGGTGCCAATATCACACAGGGCGAGGGGCGAAGGTGGAGGAGGAGGAGGGGTTTGAAGTTCTAAGGTCAAACTGATGTCTCCAAGCTGTGTAAGGGGCTTTCGGGCTCCGGGACGGTGACCTCAGCTTGATCGCTGTCCACTGCATTGTTATTTCTGTTGAGGGATGTAGATCCACCCAGGCTACCCCCACCTCGCTTTTTGAGTCCATCAGTCTCGAGGTCGTCTTCAGCGCCGTCAAGGAATGGTGTTTGAGGCTCGTCTTCCTCCAGGATGAACTCTGGGTGAGTCATGAAGTTATGGATGGAGCTTCTGGATTCGGGTTTCTCGAGGCCTTCGTACAAGGAGCTACGGAACGCATTCACCACTTTGATCTGCCGGGAGGCGAGGAGCGTGGGGGATAAACAAAAGAAGGGTTAGCAGCAGTTACGAGAGGTCAGAGCTCCCAGGAGAAAGTAAAAATAAATAATAAAGACACAATAAAACAAAAAGCACAACAACAACAACAACAGACACTACCACCGAACAGACAGCTAAGTCAAAATGAGAGATCTATGGTGAACTAGAAGGGCCAACATGGATCAGACTCAGGCACTAGTTGTGTGATGGGGAATCAACCGACTATGGGGCGACTTCAGAAGCTGCAAGAAAAGACATAAAAAAAACCTCAAAAAACCAGATCACTTCGAATGAATGGAAGCCAAAATGCATTAGTTGTCATTACATGTGCACACGCGTATCTGTGTGTATAAACAAGGACAAAAAAAGTGGAACTACAACTCAAAAAAGAGGTGGGTTAGACAAACAGTGGGTTCACTTCAAGGCAAAAAACTCTACTGTGGGAGCAATGCGTGTGTTTGTTCTATTTCATTTTTAGACCTATAGAAAGGAATGGGCTTTAAAAAGGTGTCACAAACTTTTGAAACCCATGTGAAGCAGTAGGTTCAAGTGGATGCTATGACTAGTAAAACCAGACCCAGCTAAACATGCAAGAAGGAAGCCAGATCTGTGTGAATTTCCCCACACGGCTGCCACCTGGACCCCAGGCAGGAGCTCTGGATCCTTTCCTACACCGACATGCTGAAGAAGACCCAGTGTTTTCCAAAGGCAGCTATTCTTTCAGATGCTCTGCATGTAAAACAAATCTCAAACTTTGTCGAAAGCCTGGCCATGCACTGCTCCTGTGAAACCCACAGGCTGTCAGTACCGCCAAAAGTCAGGCTTAACATGTTGGAAGCAGATCCAGAGCCCGGATTGGAAAACCAGGGTATGGCTCTGCTACCTCCATTGCACTGGAAGGGAGAGGTCTGGAAGAAGCCCGGATGGTGGCTAGCAGTGGATTCACTGCTCCCTCCAGTTCCTCTGGAAATCCAGCCTTGAGCCTTTCCAGCTCTCACCCTCCCTTGCAGCCAAGTCAGTTGTTCGGTTGGATGGATGACAAGCATCAGATCCAGCGAAGGAAGGGGCAGGAGGCGGCAGCGGTGTGGGGCTCCAGCAGACATCCCCACCCCAGCGCAGACGCTGGTATGCACGAGACAACCAACATGTGCACCTCGGGTGCGGCAGAGCACTCCAGCTCTCATGACTCAGGGCTACAATCACTCAAAAGATATCAAAAAGCATAAACTGAAGGATAGTGATGCAGTATGTGGGCTTTTGAAGCAGAGCTAACAAACCGAGCAGCTGAACGTCTCCCAAGTCTTAGAGGACCAGGTGAAATCACACACATGGCTTTGCCTTTTACTGCAAAGCCACAAGCTACCCACCATGCGGTGCCCTCCAAAGCATCCCTCTGGTTGCTCCGCTGTGTCTTACACCGATGCTCTCCCCGCTGACCCTTTCAGGCCAGAGCCAGCACGTTGCCTCTCTCCAGAGGTCTCCCCATCCTGCTGCAGCAGGTCACACCAGCACCCTCCTGGCTCGTGTCACCCTCCCAGTCACCTGGGAGCTGGGCTGTCTCCTCCTTTTATAGAGGGCAAAGCTACTGACAAAAGTTGTCATCAGGGACCAAGCATCTTGCGCAAGTTCTCACATGTTTTACGGAAACAACAGAAGTCTTCACTCTGTTAAGCGGAGTTCATCTGGGACCATGAGGTCTGCTCAGCTCCTCCTCTCCGAAGGAAATGCTTCCAGACCACCATGAGACTTTGTTCAGCAATGCTGAGCGCAGCAGGGAAGTCGGTAAAACTTCCCCATAGCAGCGCCAGTCATCCTGCTCTGTCTCTTGCCCCATGGAAGGAGCATTGCTACTCACGAGCTACCTTCACCTGCTCCCAACACCCAAGGAACCCAGTTGTCACCCATGTCACCCACAGTGTCCCTGTGGACTGAAGCTGGTCCACAAAAAGGAGGAGATCTACAGATCCCACATAAGGAGTGCTCCTCCACAGCATCCCTACGTTACACCCCAGAGAGCCTCCCCGTCACTCAGCCGCTGGCCGAGGGAGTGGAGAGCGTGCAGAGCTGCTGGAGGGAGAACGATTCAGATATCCCCTTGCAAGCCGATGAGGCACATGTGTGTTCTGCCGCTTCTTTGCAAATGGGCTGCAGATCTGGTGGGTGAACAGAGACGACACCCCTCTTCCTGGTGAGATGAGCCACGTTAAACTGTCTGCCTCAGTCTGCTACACAGGCAGTCTAGGAGGCAAGTCACCAACCAGGACAGCCAGTGAATACCTCCTAGGGATCTTTGGTCTCAGCACAAACAGCACTCACAAAACCAGAGTGAGTTACTCAAAGAAGAGTCTCGTGCCTGGAACCCCGGAGATTTTACCTGCAAGGTGTTCCAGTGTTCCCCTTTTGCAAGGGATGCCCTTCCGAGTCCACTTTCCATCTGGCTCAGAAAGATGGTGCTGCACTACACGGGGCACCAATGTGGCATCCCCCTGGCACAGGCTCAGCACATCCCAGCTAGAAACAAACCAGCCAGCTCTTGCACACACACGTAAACTCGATGACAGACACTCATGAGGAGATGAGCGTGGGCCATGTACCCCCCCATGATGCTGGAGAACCAGCTGGCCTGCAAAATGGAAAGTTTATGTAGCTGGGAACAGAAATTCAGAGCTGTGTTTGCTGCACTAACAGCCACAGTAAGATCCTGGATAAATTCAGTGTTTAGTATGAATGCACAGGACAAGGGAGACCACCAAGCAGGCCACCTTCTACCAAGACTGATGGTCTGTCATCAACATCTTGAGAACAGCAACTGCCAAGCACTGACAAAAGCACTGACCCCTAAAATGCAGTGTGCAAAACCAACTAAACCAAGTATAACCAACCTGAACAAGCTAACGAGAGCCTAGGTGATTGCCAAAGCAGCTAGTTGGTCAGTCTAGCACAAGCTCAGAGGTAGAAGTAGCTTCACAGGAGTCCTCCCTGCCCCACTACTTCAAGCATTGGTGAGTCCAGACCCTATCTACCACATCGCTGCCTTCAACTCCAATGAACTTTTACTGCAGCTTTCTTCAGATTTTCTTACTTTGATTTAACTATCTCTGTCAGCAACTGCTGTGAAATTAATTCAGCTGTTCCCTTGTCAAAGGAACTTAACAGCAAGGAAGTGTGTTTTGAATGAGCCAGGCAGTGCAAACAAAAATGAAATCCTTTGCAACCAAGCTGAAAGCCCACCTCCCTCCCTGCCCATGGCCAGGCTTACACCTCCTCTCCACCTCAAACCTTTGCAACCTCCATAACCTCCAAGCTTGGAATTTATTCTCATTTCACACCATCACTGCAGCACCGCAATGTGCTGGGTAAACCCCACCGCTCACATGAAGATAGAAATTACATCTTCTGCACGAAGCCAGCATCAGCTCCACCACTGACCTCTGGATTGCTTTGCCCAGCTCCCTTAAACCAGGGAAAACCCCCAAGGGAGAGCAGCACAGCTCTGCAAACCATCTCCTGAGAGTCATTCCTGCGACCTTCCTCTCCTCCATCACCCCAACAGGGGCACAGCACACAGGGCTGCCGAGGTCCAGCCTCCGAGACCTCATCCCACAGAAGTGCAGTGGAAGACAGAGGGACACCATTAATCTGTTTGGAGGGAAGTGGAGCTTTGAGAGAGAGGGAAGGGAAGCGGCAGAGGGAAATAGAAGTCTAGGCAGAAAACAGAGGGAAGACTTAGCAACCTGGGTTAGCTTCTGGTAAAGTTGTTTGCTGCCTGGAAGGGTACAAGCTAGCCAAGTTATCTATTTCCTTGCTGCAAATCGTGGAGAACATTAATCCACAGACTGCAAAAAAAAAAAGAAAAATCCTGCATTTTGGTCTTGTCCACCCAAGCCCCCTACCCTGAGACCCCTCTAAGCAGGTTTTCTTCCAATTAGAAAGTCTTGGTGATGCACAGATGCAATTGGGAACAGAAGGCAGCTGCACTGCTTCAGAAACATTGGGGTTAAACAAAATAAAATTCAAGCATCAGTGTCAGCTAAAGAGGGAGAAAACAAAATAATCAGAAATTCTCTCTTCTCTCCCACAGTGCATAAACAGTGGAAACTGAAAGCTATTCAAAAAGTCACCAAGGGTATTTCTTTAATAAGAGGAGAACACAGAAAATGACTGTGCAATAAAAAAGCCAATTATCCAGGAAAGATACACTACCTACTCATAGCCTGACACAGCCCTGCAGAGAGAATTCACACTCACATGCTCATATACACAGCTCACAATGAACATGGAGAGAGGCACTGCACCGGAGAGGGCTTTTCTTTGGTCTGGAAACCCACAGCTAGATCCACGATTCAGCTTTGCCACTGATGTTCAGCAATGTTTTCCATCTCCGTTTGCATGCAGAGTCGCGTGTCTCTGCATACACCGAGAACCAGCGTGTGCAGAACAAGCTGGGCACTGATGAGCCGCTGCAACGGGGCAGCGATGCTCCAGCTATGTTGGGGGACCAGCAGAACCCTGTGCCGTCCCCACAGAGCTCCAGGGCAGCAAAGGGCACGCTTAAGTGTGCGGGCTTGCTCAGCTCTGTCTCATACGGCATGCAAGTTAACAGGTGGGACAGGGGAGGCTGCTTGCTTACAAGCCAGCTCTGAAACAGCAGGCTGAGCTGCAGGTGAGTGGTCCGAGCAGCTCTGATGCATCAGCACCAGCCGGCTGAGCCACGGTAACCGGTTGCTCTCACACACCGTCCAGCCTCCCAACCAAGGCAGGAGCAAACACCCCTTCTCACACGTGTGCGAGAGGCAGAGTGCATACAGGCAGCCCGTTACTGCGGCTCAGCCGATCCCAGTAGCACACTAACTGCTGTGGGAAGGTCCGAGCGGCCACTCTGCCTCCAAACAGATTTACAACTTTAGGAAAGCAATGCCTCTGCCCATCCCTGCCCTTCTGGGGCATCCTGGGGCTGGGCAGAGCCGCATCGGAAAGAAATGGCAGCTTTTCGGCACAGCGTGCCCTTTTCACAGCAATGCTTTTAGTTGCTCATGAACACGCGGTTCTTCTGACAAGAGCCACCAATTTTTGCACCCCTGAGGAGGGGGGGCTCATACTCAGTCCTGCAAAGGAGGAGAGGAGGTAAAAATAGAGGAAGCAACAAGGAAAGGGGGCGGGGAAGGACCAGAAAGTATCGTAAACTTGTTAAAGATGCAACAGCATAAAAACTATTTTTTTTTAAACACTCTCCCGCCCCATCCTTCATTTTGGAAATCAGTGTGCGAGTCAAGGTTTAGAGGGAGAGAGAACAGGCCGGGTTAGGTTGGTGCAGGTGCTCTCTGTGGTTATTAGAAGTCATGCATTGTAATAGACTATCACTCACTGCCCGCAGGAGGAGATGCAGCAGCAGCAGCAACAGCAGAAGTGGTGGGAGTGGAATTGACGGAGGAAAGAGCTACATGGGTTGGGCTAGAAACATTTTTTACATCGTGGTGCTGGCTCACGATGGAAGGCTGTCTCCTGAGGGCTCCCTGCAAAGAGGAGGCGCCGGTCTGGAATGTGTAAACTACGTCCATCTGCAAAGAACCAGAGAGTGAGATAGCGTCGCCCCGGCCAGAGACAGGGAGAAGGGTCAGGGATGGAGGGGAGCAGGGAGGTTGGGCAGACACACACGGACAGGAAGGAAGGAAGGAGGAGGACAGAGAGGTGGGGAGGAGAGAGGTCCCCCAACCCACGCTCCTGTAAACCCACACCAGGTTTGGCTGGTGTTTCTGGGAGCAGAGGAGAGATTGGCTTCCAGCCTCTGCCCCGCTCTCGCAGGCACGAGAGGGGCAGGGTTTATCCCACCACCAAGAAAGAGACCGTGGTGGAAGGGAGTGAGAGAGGAAACACCTTGGGTTATCCTGACAATCTGCAGGAGGAGCAGAGAAAGAGAGAGGGTGGGCAGAGGTGTGAGCTGGCAGCCAGTGGTCCAGAAAACTGCACTGGGAAAGGGTTTCTGGTCCCTCAGCCCCATGGGATGTACAGCTGAGGGGCTGAATCCTGGGACACACCATGTGTCTGCAGCTCCCGTGGCAGCCGGCCATGTTGGAGGACGTTTCAGCCCCTCTCCCAGGCTCCTGGCTCTGCACAGGACTCAGAGCTGGTAGGGCTGGGCAGGGATGCAGCAGGGAAGCACCCTTGGTGGTGGGTCACACTGAGGCCGGAGGAACCGAGCAGCATCCAGGTGCCACCGTGGCTTCCCAGACACTTTGCAGCTGGACTGTCTCCAGCCTTGTGCCAGCCAGCCCGCTGGCAGAGCGCACAGCCCTGTGTCACCCCAGCTTGCCGACACGGCTCCTCAGGAAGGGACCCCTCCTCCAGACCCAGGTGCAGCTCTAGCTCACCCCAGAGGTATCGGACACACTGCTTCACTCCTTTCCCAGTTTGATCTCCCTCCACAGAGGGACCCTCTTTTCCCTAGTGCACCAGGCTGGTCCACGGGGAAGAGCCCTATGCTTTCGCCTAAGACACACTGAGCCAGGACAGAAGCCCCAAGATGCTCGGGTTGGACCTGCTGGCTGCTCTGCTCGATGCACAGGGCATCGCTGCCAGGAAAGGAGCTGCTAAAGAGGCTCCATGACATGCCTGCATCCAGGAGCGTTTTTCATGTTGCAAGAGCTCGTTTCAGCCCAGGTTCACCCAGCTCAGAGGCTCTGGGTTCGGCCCCAGCAGCACTCCTGACCGCTGGTACTGCGGCCATTCATACCTGCCAGGCCTCCAACAGATCTGGACGATTTTCGAAAGAGCCCAGTGCTCCCAGCATGTCTTTCATGTAAATGAACCAGACTGAGCTGGCAGCTCAGGTCCCCACAGCGCCAGCGACCAGCACTGCCCTGGGCTCCCAGAAGAGCCCGGCTGCCCCTCACCACTCACAACAGGCAGGGAATGAAGGCTGAACCTCACCTTGAAGCCATCAAGGCAACATCTCACAGAGGAGAAGCAAAGTTAACATGGCACAGCACGGCTGCTGTGCTCACTCCAGTCCCTCTGTCTGGGCCATTTTGATTATCTCCATTTGTCGGAGGGCCAGAGGAGGAGGAACGAAAGGTAACCCAGCAGTCCTGCATGTCGGGGGCCCCTGGGGACCTACAGCTTTCCTCCATGGGGCAGCTCTGTCCAGGCCTTGAGGAAAGACGAGGGGCAGTGAGCTCACTGCAGGGAGCTCTCCCTGCCCTGCCCAGCCAGCAGTCCGGGGGAAAAACCCACCCTTTCAGAAAAAACTGAGTCAGGGGGAAACAGCTGATGTAAAAACCATATTAACAGATAGATTCTCCTCCCCTTCTGTGCTATGGGGCCAAGAGCTCCAGGGCGAGGAGCGCAAAGAGCTGGCAGGGAAGGGTGGTAAGAGCCCTTGGCCAAAGGGCCGTCGGGAGGGATGGAGAGCACCAGAGGAGCGAGACCGCAGAGGGTCTTCGTGCAGGCAGATCCCTCCTGAGCACGTTCCCCGCTGGGAGTGGCATCCCAACGGCGACCAAGAGCAGCTTCAATGCTGATCCACTCACTCCACAACTCTCTAAGAGCCCGGGTGGCCCCGTGGGCTCCCCTGCAGCTTCCAAGTACCCTCTTCTGCTGCACAAGGTGCCCATCAGCAGCACATCCAGCCTCCTGCAGACCAGCCTGGCCTCCGGCTGCAGGACACCGTGTTCTGCACCAGAGCCGACCGGTGCCTCCCCCCACCCTGAGCTCTCCCAAAAGTCAGGCTGTCCTGGTTCCCCAACCAGGGCAGACCCTGAAAGGCACAGGTGGTGGGAGAAGTCTAGCCCAGGAGGTGATGGCATCCTCCGAGCAGCAGCTGTCACCTCTTTCCAGACAGAGCCCCTGGAGAGAAAGAGAGAAAGAAAGAGAGAGAGAAGGAAGAGCCGCACAGTACCTGCGTCTGTATCCTGTTGAGACCCCTGAACCACAGGATCTGCCCGCGCCGCAGCTCCATTTCAGCATGGTCGATCTCATCCACGTCTTCAGGCAGCTCCTCCTCTGGGATCTCCTCCTTGGTGATGCCATGCCCAGCTTCCTTCAGGAACTTCAGGTGGCTGGTTGGGACAGTGCAGATCAGCTAGGGAGAGGCAGGGAGAGAGCAGCTCCTTAGCCTGCAGGCTACGGCAGCACAGAGCCCACCGCCAGCCTCGACCAAGGGGGAGCAGCAAGCTGCCAGGGCTCAGCCGAGAGATGCCAGGATGCAGCAGAGACACGGCACTGCTGGATATGCCCACTGCAAGCACGGTGGGAACAAGGAGTAGATTAGCAACCTCCTCTCCTCACTGCTGGCATGGCATGGTACTGGGATGGAGCATCACCTCCTTCCAAAGCTACCTTGGATAAATACTGGGGAGAACAAGGGCAGCAAGGCAGTGGGAAGGGAAAGGCAGGCTGGGCTGCAAGCACGCCATGGCACGGAGGCATGCGGTGTGTTTTTCAGACCGGCTCTTACCTGGCCCCAGAGGAGCTCTCCCACTCCAATAAAAATACACCAGAACCACTGGCTCAGGGTGAGCCCAGAGCAGCTGAACGGCTTCCCACCAAACTCCACAATGATGATCTACAGCACAGGAGAGAACAAGTCACGCACTGGGGAGCTCCAAGGGCTGCACAGCACAGCCACGGGACGAAAAGGTCCCCTAGGGCCACACATCTTTTCTCCTCTTCCTGGGATCGTGAGAGGAGCAAGGACTTCACATCTAGGCTAGTAATTTTACAGGATATCAGAGGTGTGCTGGCTGGCCAGCCCTGGCATCTCCCAACACACTCTGGACCCCAATATTCAGGTTTTGTGTCACCAAGAAGCTTCTGGAGAAGAATAAGGGTGCAGAACAGAGCTGTGGGCAGTGACTGCAGCAGACAGAGGTCCTGTGTGTGGCACAGTCCCCTCCCAGCCCCACCATCTTATTCCCACGCTGTTCCCACAGCTTCACCTGAGCTGCAAATGTCCCCAGCACCACTGTGCAGAAGATAGGGTTGCGGTAGATCGACTCAAAGACGTTCCTCTCCCCGTGGATCTTGCGTGCGTTGATCTCATTGAACAACTGCATCATGACAAAGGTGTTGAAGACGATGGTGTAGTGCTCTGTGGGCGGGGAGTGGAGCGGGGCGTTCCGGCCACTGTCAATGTCAAAAAACTTCTCCCCTAAGCAGACAAGGGGTTTTGGGGAGGGGTTGGGGAAGGGCAGGGAAGAGAGGAGAAGATGAGATCCTGCTCCTTACTTCTGCTCTGCACTGGTAGAGAAGGAATTAGGACCCTAAGCTCTCGCTGAAGATCCCTTGATCCAGCTGGAGCCACCCATGCTAGTCCCACTGAATCCTTATTTCCTTAAAAATGTTGAAAAGCTGCTTCCCTGGCTAAAATTGTCTCTGCACTCAACGACTTCTAGAGAAAAAAAAAAAATAATCTTGTCCTTATCACCGCTCTGCTTCCCATCCATTAGTAAATAAGCTCTGTCCTGGCCAACGTGAGGTCACCAAGTCACAGCTGAGAACAAGGGTCCCCAACACTGGTGAGGAAAGGTGGCTTGCAAGGCAGGGCTGTGACTCGGCCCCTTTTCTTTTCCCCTGCCATTTCTTGGGGCCTCAAAGCTCACCTGCAAAAAGCAGCGTGAAAATGATAGTTAGCTGGTACACCGCATGCCCCAGGATGTTCTTCATCATGGTGCGGGAGATGAGCGGCTTGTTGCGGCCGTATGGCTTGCGCAGCAGGAGGGACTCGGACGGGGGCTCCGTGGCCAGGGCTAAGGAGGCGAAGGTGTCCATGATAAGGTTCACCCACAGCATCTGGACAGCCTTCAGGGGAGAGTCCTGCAGAGGGAGGAGAGAACATGTCACGCCACCAAAACCACCCTCTTTTCACTCCTTGTTTCACAGGAGCGTCTACTCTCCTCCAGCTGAGCCCAGCAGCCCCATACCTGTGTGATGCAGGCGCCCGTGAAGGCCACGATGACGGCCACAACATTAACGGTCAGCTGGAACTGCAGGAACTTGGAGATGCTGTCGTAGACGTTGCGTCCCCACATCACTGCCTTGACGATGCTGGTGAAATTATCATCCGTCAGGATGATGTCCGAAGCCTCCTTTGCCACGTCCGTGCCTGCGATGCCCTTGAGGACCAGAGAGAAAGCAATGGGGTGAGTCATGGATGCTCACTGACCGTCTGGCTCTGCTTCTTCCCAGAGACAGCCCCGAAAGAAAAGTCCACTGGAGCCAGAGGAGCCAGTGCCAGTCCTGCGTTTGACAGCAAGTCCTGCTATGGCTACGCCAACACACCCGAGAGCAGAGGCTCCAAAGCAGCAAAACCTTCAAGGACAGACACCAGCTCGGCTCCAGAGCAGGGCTGTGAGTCAGCGCAGCTTTTCAGGATGTCGCTGTGTGTGCCCCAGACAGGGGCCACAGCGTAGCAAAGCTGGAAAACAGCTTATAAACACGGCTTCCTCCTTATGCCAGGGAACATGGGCATCCCTGGCTGGGCATCTCTGCTGCAAGCGAGGGCTGCAACCCCCAAATGAGAGAGCGCTCAGCAGCCCAAAGCCCCGGTGCCTTCCTGGTGCCCTCTGCCCCATCCAGGGGCTGCCCACACCCTCCCAAAAATCACCTGCAGCATCGCAGCTGAACACAGACTGCTCTCCAGGAGCTGGGCTTGCTGTGTTTCTCACCACCGGCACACAGAGGCGCCCGCTTTGCTGTAATTAAATGCACCGAAGCGGTGCCCGTAACCAGCCAGTTCCCTGGTGCTTTCCTGGAG